ATCTCCGAGCCGTTGAGCGCAAAATTTCTCGGAACATGTTCTGAAATCCGAGTAGTTAAGCGCCCCTCAGCCCTTACGATATGCTTGCTGACACAAGTGCATTGAAATAGGTAACTTGAGAGTATGGCTTGTCCAAGTTGGATTCAATGATCAATCGTCTGCTTTCATGGAGAAAATTAGTGACGCAGCGTTGTACGTTCTTGAGAGAGCTTGTTTTAGCCGACTTTGTGATAGTTCTCATTCTGATCACCTTTAACGGGTAATGTGATGGGAATGTTTTTCTTTCGTACGTGGTTTCTCCTAGTTCTGGTCTCTATTTTGTTGCCATACTTGGCAATGAAATTCCTCGGATATCCGTTATCCTGTAACGTACAGGATATCAGTTCAAGATCGTTTTTAAGTGTTTCCGCGGAACAAATTCGTTTCCCTCTAGAAAACAAGCCCTTTACTGCCTTTTCGAAAACAGCAGCTGATGCAGCAGCATTGAACTTTTATGCCCTGGACGATTTTGCTTCATCCATATTATATAATCATTGATCGGTTTTGAGAACGAGTTTTCTAGAGCCTCGATAATTTCAATAACATCGCAAGCACTGACGATGTCACCTCGGCTGGTGATGAAACGTTTGCAATCAGATTACTCTTTGCTTGACGAGCAGGTGAAATGGAACTTTGTGTTTGTTCTGTTGTAGATGACCTGAACTGCGTGCGTATTAAAGTGACACAATGTTTTTGTTCGAACACATCCCGGTGTAGCTAAAGACAGTCATGAACAACAAGTTTGAAACCATTACATCATCGACTCAGTAGAACACCTGTTCCAATAAAAACATTGTATTTCTCCAACCCGCAGGCCTCTCCGGTTATCCACAACACAACATTGAGTTACTGAAACTTGCCGATGCCTTAGTCATGTGTAATCATCGTTTATGTGTACTACAGGCATCAGATGAGATGCAGTGAAATCGTCCCGGAGAGAAATTCTTCACGAGAAAGACTTGTTTCAGTTTTTTTTCTTAAGCTGCTAATGTGACACGGGCACCGGTGTAGAGGTCATTTCACAACCCACCCACCCCTGGTGTGACTCGGTCGTGAGCAACGCCACGGAATCTGTTCTTGTCCTATACATGTTCCCGGACGCTTTTACTTTCCCTGATCTCTCCTATTTCGATTGACACAAGTAATGCATTGGTATGAAACCGTTAGCGTAACTCTCTGTTTTCGAAGAATGTTTTTTATACCAGGTGGTGGTGGCGCAGTTGTGTAGTCGCTCTCACCGGTGTGCTTCGAACCATGTAGTACGAGCCACCGAAGTTTGGTGGTAGGCAGCTTTGCTGTTGTCCGGGTCAATACCGCGCCTTAATTGTCGGGGCCTTATGTAGTTCGCTAATCCAAGTCCCGGGGTCTAGGTTACCGATTTCCATTACTAAACAACAGGTCCTTGTGACTACGGGGCCTACCCCGTCTGCTGTTCATCACACTAAAAGTGTTAGCGTCTATTGCTCGACTGTATACATTTACCTTCTTCGTTCATGCATGATCCATACCCCATTTCATTACTTATTGTTCTTCCCACCTAAAACTCCCGTTCGCCTGTAATTCATTCTTCTCCTCTATAACAGATTTAAGGTGGACTTGTCACCCTATCCGATCATCCGCCGTATATATACGGTTCTAATGGAAGTGGAAGCTTTCAAAAAAGCTGCTCCCGATGTGCAACCGGACTCCATTGGTTGAATAACGAACGCATCTCGGAAGCAAACCGGCCTCACACACCATCCTTTATTTATTTCGCCGCGCCGCGCCATGCCAAGCAATTTTTGATATACTGATTTTCGCTTGTGATTTTCACCATTTACTAATTGATTTTTCTCTTTCCGAGTTGTGTTACTTTGTAGAATCGTATAATGTGAACGGGGATTTTGTATCAGTTACCTAGTCAACAACC